ATCCTGGGAGTGCGACCCAGCCCCCCTGCCGCCAACTTACGCAGCTTGTCCGACTCCATCTCCTCTACTCGAGCAATGCTCGTTATGGTACCTAGGCTTCGTCCGAATCCTTTTCTCTCAATACCCCACCTATCTTTTCCATAGATGTTCGGCCCCCCAAGGCGGACCATCGTTGCAGCGGGTGGTGACTATCAGCGATGGGGTTGACGAGCTCTCCTGCTGATCGAGGCAATCGCCCGATCAATGAAAGCATCCTCATCTGCTCTGGCATGGGACGCATAGTTAGCCTTATAGCAGGTGATGAGCTCATGAGTGCATACGTTGGTGTTATCATAATCAGTGGTGAATCCTGCCACCCAGTAGGTCCTATTAGCGAGACCACTACAGAAGCTAAGGATGACTTGGCTCATGTTAGTGGAGGCATCTTGGCCGCTTCAAGTGATGCCATACCGCACCTTACTTATAGCATGTTAGATTTCGGTGGAGCCCAAGTGGTGGATATCGTCGTGCCTTCAACAGGAAAGGAGCATCAAGATGGCCACCGTGGTAAGGGGTCAGATGCCGCGGTCCCTTCTGGTCTCGATTCGAAATGGGGTTATAGTTCATAAGGAGACGTGCTACTGTCATCGTATCGTTATAAAAGTTATAGAATCTGCTAGAGTTGTGTTGGAGTCTGAGGAGTGGCGATGGAGTGGTATGCGGCAGTTGACTCGCATTAAAGCATGGCTTCTTCCTCACTTCCTGGTAACTTCATCGTCTCTAAAGGAAAGGGAGGTGATGATGATACTGTACAGGTAGCCATCCATCATTCCCTTTCAGATCTCCTTATGGTCACCCTCCGTCACCCCAAATACCCCAAGGCATCATGTGACGTCTACGTCTACGGTGCTCACGTGGCTAGATGGACCGACCGAGAAGGTGATGAGATGAGTAGCTGCTGTTCTATCACTTAGGCGAAGTACTTCAGGCAACTCCAACCTGTATCTGTCCCCTATCGCTGACTATGGCAACGGTAAAGCCATGAGAGGCGGAGTCCCCGTAAGTAGTGGTATTGGGCCGATGTGTGTTGGTTATTACGGATTTGCAAGATTTTGGACAATTTAGCAGAAAAGTTGGTAAAAAAATCGGAATTTTCCCGATAAAACTCGGCCGATATCGATTACGCTCTAGTGGAGGTAGTAATACTCAGCGTTACCACAATTTCCCACAGGTCTGTTGGCCGCAATTCGCTGGTAACGGTCCCTTCCAGAAGCACGGCTTCGCGAGGAACACTGAGTGGGAGCTCGACAGCTACAGCACCGAGGAGGATCCGTGCGTAATAAATTATTATCATTATGAATTGTGTTAATTACGCGTTGGAGTTTCACCCTAGTGGTATGAAAAACACTAGTGTAAAACATATTTTACGACTACTGCTGATTGAAACGGTCCTTAATAACGAGCAATACAGGATACAGCAATCATGTTCTTCTGCTCTAAGGCTACTGCCCTTAATTAACGTCGCTCCGCTCCTCCATCCTCTGGGCTTGGCACCTCCGACGAGTCTTCTGATGACTCGAATCCGCTCGACTGGTTGTGTCTGTGCTGCTGTCGCTGCTAGATTTTTTTTTCTTTTTTTTTTCTTTTTTTTTCTTTTTTTCCTTTTTTTACAGCGACATGCAGA